CAGGAATGTAGAAGGCACAATTATATGCTAGGTAAATAGAAATCTTAGGTGGTAGGGAAATTAAGAAAAGATTAGTGTGGAAAAGGAATGGTCAGGAAGAGAAGTGGCTGGGATGAATTGATGGGTACAACTTAAAAGTTGAAATAGGTGAAGAAGAGCTTTACAGAGAAGCACAAGTAAAGGAACATTCTAGGAAAGTGAGGTCTGGCTGGAATGGAAGGTTAATACTCAAAGAGACTAAGGCTGGGAAGGCAAAATATAGGATCTGACTCTAGCAGGTCCAATGCTATGATGAGCTTCAAAATGTATGCAAAAGTTAGTGACAGGTTACAAGCAAAGGAGTGTGTACCAATAAAAACGAGTTCTAAATAAGAATGATCTAGGGGCAGTGAATAGAAAGCAATGAAGTAGAGACATGTCAAGTAGACAAACTATTAAGGTAACTGCAATAGTATAAACATATAAGGACTTAAGCTAAGAAGGTGGTGGGATTACAATGAAAAGGAACCTGAACAGCAATCGATACTGAACTCATTCTAAAATAAAACTTTAGTCATCTTCTAAGTCTAAGGATGAAGTACAAATGCACAACAGCATTATATAATAGCATCTATTCAATGATGGCATGTGACACACTACACCACACAGCTATAAAGGTATTTGCACAGTACCCAAGTTAACAATTAGTTCTTATAAATTTTAACTAATTAAACATAATAATACTACCAGCACTCTCCCACTCTGATAGGATTTTCTGAAGGGGTTCTAACATGCAGAAACTAGAACAAGAGTGTTGTATCGATGGACAATATTTGTCAAGGGTGTTACAATGTAAAAAGTCGAGGATCATTGATCTAATACCATTTTTGGGGAAAACCTTTCAGCTTTTATTATTATTTTTTTTCAGGTTTTCCCATCAGGCTTTTATTATAAAGAAGGTTCCAAAGCCTCTTGTCAGTGGAGAAACACTAGACTATAGTCAGGAAAGTACAATCTTTGAGTTACAATCAGGATCTGTACATGCCCTGAGGCAAGATAATTGATACCTGAGTGATTTCAGCCTCTTTATTAATGGGAAAGGGGTGAGTGGAGGACAAAGCTTTCTTCTCCAGTACCATAAACTCAATAAATTTAAGTTCCCTTCCAGTTTCCCACCATTAACAGTTACTGCAGCAGAGAAGTAGAGAAGAGAATATTCAGACTACTATAGGAAATGTAGCAAAGAGAAAAAAAAAAAAAATCACTCACCATCATTTAGGGCATCAATGGCAGCCACTTTTTTATCATTTGCCTGATCCATCATCTCCTCAGTTATCTATGGGGAAATTGAATATCAACTAAGTAGTAGAAGAAAAGCAATGGGAAGGAGGAAACAATTTGGACTTTCTTAGGGATGTGGTAGTCACAACCCCATTTCCACTCATTTTTCTCTGGTCTCAAGGGAACAAAGAGGATAATCATAATAAAGGATTAGTAAGAAATCTTACAGGATACATTTTAAACTTTCATACTAAATAATAAATTTCATTCCCTATACTCTGCCCTAGACATGACTTTTGCTTCCCTCCATCCCGATCTGAGGTTTTTCTGCCCTAGTTTTTACCAAATCCTTTCTAGTTATTCACAAGTATAGGCATAGCTTGTTTTATTGCACTTGGCAGACAGCACAAATTTTACAAATTGAAGGTTTCTGGCAATGCTGTGAGTCTACTGGAGCCATTTTTCCAACAACATTTGCTTACTTTGTGTCATTTTGGCAATTCTTCCAGTATTTCAAATTTTTTCATTATTGTATTTGCTATGGTGATCTGTGATGTTACTACTATGACTTGCTGAAGGCTCAGATGGTTAGCATTTTTTAGCAATAAAGTACTTTTAAATTAAGGTATGTACATTGTTTTTTAGACATAATGCTATTGTACACTTAATAGACTACAGCATAGTGTAAACATAACTTCTACATGCACTGGGAAACCAAAAAATTTGTGTGACTCACCTTATTGCGGTGGTCTGGAACCTAACTCACAATGAGATCTTGGAGGTATACCTGTACTAAAACCCAGTCTCCCCACAAGTGGAAAAGCTAGTTCCTAAGAGGCTTGAATCTTAGAATTGTCTCATTCTTTTGGTCCAACGAACATCTATTGAGCACCTATACTAGACAGAACAAACACCATACAAGATGCTGACAGTACAATGATTATTAATAACAAAAACATATAGCAAACGTCCTACCAGAAGCGATTTCTTTAACAAACAAAATTCCACTCTATCACCATCACTGTAAAATATTACTGAAGGTGCTGGCTTATCATTAAGAAAATGATTTGATACGTTTAAAAACTGGAAGGAAAATACCAGCTGTCTTTATACACATACCTAGAAAATCTAATAGAACTGACAAGCTGTTAGATCTACTATGACAATTCAGTAAAGTTCTCTTTACTGAAGAGAACGACAAGAGAATACAAGAGCAACATAAAAAACAAACCCAGAGTTCTTCCACATCAGCAACAATTATAAAATATAATAGAACAAGATACCATTCTAAGAGCACACAAGACTTTCATGGGAGGGAGCAGAGGAAAAGATAAAATTCTATTAAAGGACACAGATATATACCATGCTCATGAAAATATTATCAACTGTATCAATCTACCCCCAAGTTACTCAATAAATTCAAAGCATTTCCAACAAAAATCCCTACAAGTTTTGGACAAACTAAAACTTTTTAAAAGAATAAAGGAAAACACTTTTCCACATAGTAAGACATCCTACAGAGCCAGGATAATTTGCAAAAAGACAACTTCAGTTTATGGCAATATGATGCACATGATACTCTGAACAAGTCTAAAACATACCTTTTATCAATAAAAGCCATCTTTGGCCTAAGAATGTAGAAATCCTCAAACAACAAAATAAAGTGAAGGCTTGAAATCCAGCCAGGTGCCAAGTGCTCCATCTGCTATCACCCTTGTGGAAGGTGTCAAACTGGGTGACCTTGCAATTCTGTTTTTGAAGATAGTGCAGGACATATGAAACAAAGTCTAGATTCAGGTGAAACAAATGTATGTTGTCTAATCAGACATCCTCCAAAACAAATCTGGAACCCCAAATGCCTATACCAGCAGGCATAATGGTATATCAAAAATAAACCTGTCCCAAAGAGGGAAACCTATATAGAGAGAAGAAAAAGAAATCTCCCCTGAAAATTCATAACCACAAGCCAGCCTTTCCACTGGAATTCACATTACTTCTGTAGTTAAATAAGCAATGAAAAAACCATGCTGAGAATCTGAAGTGATCCTTGAGCTGGTCGCACCAACTCAGCGTCTTGATGGAAGCAAACATCTCTCTCTTTGGAGGAACACACCTTCTACTCAGGCCTCAAAACCTTTCCACAGGTAAAGTTTACAAGAACTCATGGGCAACACACACATGCGTGCATGCGCACACACACACACAAACTACAATAAACAAAGTACCTCAATGAGCAAGAGTCAGGAAAAATAACAGGAGAATAAGACCAGCAAAACAGTCCGATAAAGAATTTAATGTGTTTAAGAAAATAAATGCAAGTTCTGAAAATGAGTAAGGAGCAAGAGACTTAAAATAACCAAGTGGTCTTTAAAAAGAATCAAAGAGAAAGTATCAAAATGAAAAACAATCATTCAAACTCAAACATCAATGAAACAGGTGATTAGACAAAGAAAGCATACATAATTTGTCAGTGATAAAGAGATGGAACTTCATAGTGAAAAAGTCTGTATCTAACTACGGCTCCAGAATGAGAGTAGAGAGAATGGGAAAGAAGCCATTTTTGAAAGAGATACTAGCTGAAAATATTCCAGAGCTAAAAAAAGTTAACCCTAGGATTTACGATGCCCAGTAAATCCCAAGTAGGATAAATAAAAAGTATTATAAACCGAGACACACTGAGATGAACGGCACCATCAATAAATAGAACAAGATTAATTTTTTTAACAAATATTGACAAAGTATATTCGTTATGGAGAAAAAGTTAAATTATTTAAAGACATTAAAAAAGACCTAAAAATAAAACAGATATCACATTCATGGACAATCTCAACAATGAGGAGATGTAGCTTCTCCATTTGTTAATTTAGGTTTAATGCAATTCTAACGGAGTGGGGATAACAATCTGATTCTAAAATTTATATGGATGAACAAAGGGCCAATAGCAACCAAAAATACTCCTAAACAGTTGGGGGTCCTTGCCCTACAAGATAACAAGACTTAATATAAAGCTAAATACAACAATGTGTCATTACTGCATGGAAAAAAATTAGACAAGTAGAACAAGAAAACACCAAAACAGACCCACACATATACAGAAACCGTGTATTTTGGCATTGGTGAGGAAAAGGATTTTTCAATTATGGTGTTGATGGTTAAAGGTGAAAGGCAAACATAAAATTTTCAGAAGGAAAAAAACAATATATTACAGCAATTATAACCTTAAGGTAATAAAGCATATAAAAGAACTTTCAATTTAACTATATTAGAAGATTTTGTATGGGGGGAGGGATAAATCAGGAACTTGGGATTAACATACACACACTACTGTATATAAAATAGATATCCAGCAAGGACCTACTGTACAGCACAGGGAACACTACTCAATATTCTGTAATAACCTATATGGGAAAAATTCTGAAAAAGAATTAATAGATGTATATGTATAACTGAATTACTTTGCTGTACACCTGAAACTAACAACATTGTAAATCAACTATATTCCAATAAAATTAAAATATTTTAAAAAAGACTTTGCATACTAAGACAATGTAAAGAAAGTGAAGAGAAACCACAAACTAGTAGAAAAAAATGTGGAGCACACAGACGACCAACTGTTGGCATCAACTGTTAGTAGAATATAAACTGAACTTAAAAATCAGCAAGAAAGAGATGAACCAGTAAAAAAAAAAAAAAATGGGAAAAGTCAGAATAAGACTTCATAAGCACCTGTGAATAACCAATAAACATGAGAATATGTCAACTTTATTAGAAATCAGGAAAATGCAAATTTAAAAGCCACAAGGACATATCATTTCACACAGTAAGGTTGGCAAAGATGAAATATGACAATATCAAGAACTGGTGAGAATATGGACCAATCTTTTAAACTGCAATTAGTATATTACAATGTTTCTCAAGCTTTGTTTCATTATCAACCCCCAAAGAGCCTTTTTAGGTAATTTTTTCTTACTTCTCACCCCCTCCATTTTAATACTGCAGATATAGTGCATATATGTGAATGTGCTATGACCTTTGGAGTACCACTAACCATTGTAACACCGAAGTTTTTTTCAAGCCCCCCTCCCAAGAACCGATTTTCACCACCTTGAGGGCAATATCTTTTGTTGGGACAAAACCATTTTAGAAAACTGGCGATAGATATCCCATTAACAGGCAATTCCACTTGTAGAAATAAATGTTAGATGAACTCTATGGTCTCAAAAGCAGTCAAACCAGATGCAAACTGAAATCAGTAAACAGAAAACAAGTATTTCAGAGATTGTTAAGACTATGATTAAAAATAAAGGGAATTTTCACAAATATTTTAAAGAATAAAATGCTTTCCTAGATGCCTTAAGTCAGAGAAAGATTCAACTTGCGCTTTTCCTAGAATAGATATGTCATAAAATTATTACAGTAGGTAGGCTTTCACATTCCTGGCAGCAAGCAGAAAATAAGCCATTGAACTTACCTCTACATTTTCATCTCCCATTTCTTGAGGGGCATCAGTGTCTGGTTCAATCACACCTTCATTGTCAATTTCTGTTGAAGTTAAGAAAATGAAAATAAGACCTGGGCTATCCAATATAGTAGCCACTAGCCACATGAGGCTATTAAAAATTAATTAACCTTGGCTAGTGCAACTAATGAACTGAACATTTTACTCTAGATTAATTTAAATATTTTACTTTGTTAATTTTATTTAAACTGGTACACTGTAAAATATTTCCCTGTTAAACACAATCTTATTGTTTTCGTAAAATTATATTTCATTTTAATAGTCACATAATGCAAGGTATTTATTATCATATTGTAGTAGGTACTCTGGCAAGTGCATAGTTCCTATTTCTATTACATATTACACAGACATACTGATTTAGTCAGTGTCAACAAACTGATTCAGTTGAAATAGTGTTCTACACACCAATATACTATAATGTTTTTTAAAAAAATATTTTATGCAGATAGCACAAGTTATAGTGATATTCTGATGTAAATCATGATAAAATATTTAATTTTACCATTTTCTGCCTCTGAAAACACAGTATGGATAAATTTTAAACTAAAAGTATACTATTCTTACAGAACTGACCCCCAAAGATAGCACTACCAAGAGCTATGCTGCAAACTTCATGATGGACAACTGTATAAACAAAACAAAGTAACTGTTATATATCAAAAATTTTTTTAAACAATAAACATTAGGAGACATTTTTAGCAAAGAGTAAATTTGATAAAAGCAGTTTCCTCTCAACTGTCAAAAAAGAATGAAATTAAAATTGGCTACCTGAAATCAGAATTAACATCCAACAACGAATTTTTAATCAATTTTTAACAGGAACTGAGCTTGTAACTTTTTCTAATTATAAAAGAGCTTGATTCCTGCACAAAATGCTTTTAGATGGAGTTAATTTTTTAAAAAAATATTAGTCATGGTAATTGTTAGAAAATTGTAAGACTAAAAAAATTTTACAAAAAGTAAAAGATCTGATTAAGCCCCCAAACAACAAACCCTTTCTAACATACCAAAGATCAACGGACTCAAAATTTGAAAAAAATTTGAAAATGAGTATTTTTTTTTTAAGCTTTTAGAGAGGTTCTGTGAATTAAGAGACTGCCCAATTAATAACTGGGGTATATATTTATATTCTCAAAGGACCTCCAAATTTATGAAGAAATGTGTCAGTTTTCAGTCTAAAAAACCAACCAAACAAACAAAACCCCAAGCCCATGGCATAGACATCAGTTCTTCTAAACTGAACCAGTTTTATTAACACAGATGCAGGTACTAAAGGAAAATAATTTTTGGTACTTGATTCATTTATTGGAAAACTTTTACATATGTCTAGAAAAACCTGGGTATCTGACCCAACTTATTCAAATACAAATTTCATGAAGTCTGAATACTGATCAAGGATTTCTATTAAAAAATGTAACATCTGCATTGAGATACGCTATAAATACTCTGGATTTGAAGACCTAGTATGAAAAAAGGAAAACAGCTCATTAATATTGATTACATGCTGGAACGGCAACATTTTACATATTGTTTAAAATATATTATTTGAATTAATTTCAACTGCTTTAAATTTTTAAAACGTGGTTACTAGAAAATTTTAAATTTCATATGTAGCTCACATTATACTTCTATTAGATAGCACTGATTTAGTCAATTTAGTAAAAATCAACACAGGACCATATCATGAGATTATCAAATACAAACTAACTACCATCTCCTCACCTAGATCACTCTCCTCACTTGATGGTTCGTCTGTCTTTATGTTTTCCTCCGCCTTCCTACTATCTGTTTTTTCTTCCTAGCAAAAGGAAGGCAAACAATGCTATCAGCATTTAATAACACACCCAACATATATGCTATTAATTTATACCAATTTATGTATAAACTATTCAGATACACTGTATTTCAGTTGTTGATGCACTTTCTTGTTTTGTTTTGGTAAACTAGCTTTTGTTTTCTATTTTTATTTCTCTTTTTAAATTAAAGGGACTTCCCTGGTGGCACAGTGGTTAAGAATCCGTCTGCCAATGCTGGGGATACAGGTTCGATCCCTGGTCCGGGAAGACCCCACATGCAGTGGAGCAACTAAGCCCATGTGCCACAACTACTGAGCCTGCTCTCTAGAGCCCATGCACTGCTACTGAGCCCACGTGCCACAACACTGAAGCCCGAGTGCTGTAGGGCCCACATGCTGCAACTGAGTCCAAGCGCCTAGAGCCCATGCTCTGCAACAAAGAGAAGCCACTGCAATGAGAAGCCCATGCACCGCAACGAAGAGTAGCCTCTGCTCGCCGCAATTAGAGAAAGCCCACGCATAGCGATGAAGACCCAACGGAGCCAAAAAAATAAATAAATAAAAATAAATAAAGTAAGTAAGTATAGGTCCAGTCCCTCATCCAAACCATTTAGAAAATGAGTTTTAGAATTTTTAAAATTTTGGATTTTAGGACGCTAATAAAGTGGATATACCACATATTATGTAACACCCTTAACAGGCACTGTAGTCCACAACTCTCCATAATCAAACACATACTACTTTTGCAAAATAAAAATTTTTTAGCAGAGATATAAGTTAATACAATTTTGTCTTCACACATGTATCACATGGCAAAATATCTTACCTAGGGCTCAGAATCTACCAAACTCTGAAAACTGACTCACCAAAAAAAAAGAATCACTACTTCTGAAGCTTTTACTTAACTTCTCCCATTTCACTGTTCAAAGATAAGCTAAATAATAAAACAGCAAATGTTCTTATCAATTTAAGACAGCTAGTCAGAAGACTCTAAGAAAACCTTTCAGACATGAAGGCAGAAAATAGGAGAAAAAGGAATTCCAAAGGGACCATTCTTTTTTTAAAAAAATAATTTATTTATTTATTTATTTTCGGCTGCATTAGGTCTTCTTCGTTGCTGTGCACGGGCTTTCTCTAGTTGTGGCGCGAGCAGGGGCTACTCTTTGTCGTGGTGCATGGGCTTCTCATTGCAGTGGTTTCTCATTGCAGAGCTTGGGCTCTAGGTGCATGGGCTTCAGTAGTTGTGGCACACAGGCTCAGTAGTTGTGGCTCCCGGGCTTAGTTGCTCCACAACATGTGGGATCTTCCCAGACCAGGGCTTGAACCAGTGTCCCCTGCATTCACAGGCGGGTTCTCAACCACTGTGCCACCAGGGAAGTCCCAAGGGAGCATTAAGAGTACATCTTCCCCCACCCTCATCTCTAAACTTTAGATACCAGCAACCTCCTGTCTGTACACACCTTTTTGGCAAATATGCTAAAGCAACTCCATGAACCACACTCAGAAATATCCCTCAGGTGGTAGAGCAGAAAAAATTGAGAGTAACTAATTTGGGCTGTTTTTCATTTACTTTCCTAATATTAATAAAGTACCTACAAAAACACTATGCTACGTGCTAAAAAACAAACAACCAAAAATGATGAATGGGAATTCCCTGGCAGTCCAGTAGTTAGAACTCAGTACTTTCACTGCTGTGGGCCCAGGTTCAATCCCTGGTCAGGGAACTAAGATCCCACAAGCAGCACTGAGTGGTTAAAAATAATAAATAAAGATGAAGACTACAAATGCACATAGTCACAGAGCTTACCACTTACAGGTCATGCATATAACATATATCCAGCATTTATTCTCACTTACTCTATACAACATAGTGAACATTCAACCCCACATTCTCAGTGTTAAAGCAGATTATAGAGATTTGATGTCCAAATAGAAATTTACAAAGATCTTACTTGGGAAATCAGGAACGGCAATTTGAGGGCAGGTGACAAACATCCCTAAGAAACCTTATTGTATTTTATCACTAAACATACAAATGAAATTCATAGCTTACCTTGGTATTTCCTTCCATTTTAGTTTTATGAGTAGCAGGTGGTATTTTACCCCCCATGCTTGAGAAAGATGAAAGAAAAGATATTTGTTTAGAAAACTAAAATTCAGTAAGCCAAGAAACATTTATTTATGCTGAGAAAAAGGTTACATATTTAAATAGTTACCTTTTCAAACCTTTAAGGGTAAACTCATTTGAATGCTTCAGTATTGTAAGTTTCTTTCAGCTTAAAAATTTATTTACTTTTAGGATACTGGTTAATAAAAATCTAACCCTTTCCTTGTCTCAATAGTCTAGTAAACTTAATCATATAGCTTCTCTGCCCATTCCCAGAGAAAAAGGAAAAGAGGTAGAGAAACATGCAATGACAAAATCATTAGTACAAGTTGTTAGAGTTCAGTAGATACACTTGAATCCAAAACTTTGAATTTTTGAATCAAAAGTTTGACATTTAGTAAGAATAGCTCAATTAAATTCAAATAGGCAGTTTATAAAATAACCATATGAAGTCACAGTGTAATAATTCAAAACATTTGTTTCCTCTGACTAGTACCTACAAGGATTCTTCTTGGTTATATTCATATGCCCCTCACACTGAAGATTTTCTCCTTATCACCTCTAAACTTCACCCATTAAAATTTCTTCTAGGCCTTGCAAGCCCTTCTTTCCCAAATACTCCAGGGCAACGAAATGAGTTATACATAAATAACTTAAAAATAAGGAAAAAATAAGACGATGAAGAATTAGTGTTATATGCTCCTTCTAAGCATAAGGGCTACATGCAACAGTCCAGTGATTAAAAAATTCAGTGGATTAAGAGCACTCCACAATAGTGAGAGCTGGAGATCACAAAGACTTAACATGTGCCTTAAAAAAAAAAGAGGCCATTAACTTTTATGTAAAATGAAGATATGTTAACTTGGAAAACAGAAAGGAACCTAGTCCAAAACACGTGTAAGCGTCGATTCTTTATAACTAGAGTTATCAGAGCCATGCTCACATTAATTTCAGTTGGGTGGGATTTCTGGACATAAGGTATGACTCTCCCTGATTCCACACTTAGCTACTTAGCTACCATCTTTTAAATTTTTACCATTTTTAACAGGTGTGTAGTGGTATCTTATTGTAATTTGAGTCTCTTTTCATACATTTACTGGCCATTTTAAAAACCTTTTTTGTAAAGTTCACCTCTTGTCCAGCCTTCTATTGGGTTGTCTATCATGTTTGTAGTTGTTCTTTGTATATTCCGCATATGCATGTTCTGTCAGTTTTACAAGTTGCGAATGTCTTCTCCCACCCTGTGGCTTGCCTATTCACTCAATAGTATGTTTTGATAAGGCCAACATGAAGTAAAAGTATAAATGCAAACTAACAAATGTAATGAGAAACAAAATTTGCAATTTCCTGTATGTACCATTCAATTAAGAAAAATGTGTACCTTTCCCATTCTGTTTAATGTGACAGTAACAAAAAAAACTTCAGTTACTCAGTACCTTCGATAAGGAAAAATAGCTCCCATGTGCCAATCATTAAATCATTACAGAATCCAAAACATCTAACTACGCGATTCAGCAAAGTGAAATGGTTTAATGATAGGGAACAAGCATACAAACAGGACAAAATTCTTTTTTTTTAATAAATTTATTTATTTTATTTATTTTATTTTTGGCTGTGTTGGGTCTTCGCTGCTGCACGCGGGCCCTCTCTAGCTGTGGCGAGCGGGGGCCACTCTTCGCTGCGGTGCGCGGGCCTCTCATTGCCATGGCCTCTCCTGTTGCGAAGCACAGACTCTAGGTACGTGGGCTTCAGCAGCTGTGTCACACGGGCTCAGCAGTTGCGGCTCACGGGCTCCAGAGCACAGGTTCAGTAGTTGTGGCACACAGGCTTAGCTGCTCCGTGGCATGTGGGATCTTCCCGGAGCAGGGCTCAAACCCATGTCCCCTGCATTGGCAGGCAGACTCCCAACCACTGCGCCACCAGGGAAGCCCGGACAAAATTCTTTAAAATTCTATTCTACCGAAAAACTTTTCGAAAGAGCACAGTAATCAAATACCAGTTCTTTGCAGTTAAATTTTAATGCAGGCACCAGACTTCCTAAACTGTGTTTTTCCTAAGTTTCAAAATGCAGCATCCAGGAATATATTTAGAGTGACATCCAAACACAGTCCTAACAGTGTAATTTATGTTAAAACTTTGCGAGGTGATAGTCCTGCCAACTAATGTGTTAAACTAAATCTAATCCTAAGGAAATATCAGACAAACCCAAATTGAGGGAAATTCTACAAAGTAACTGACCCATAATATTCAAAATTGCCAAGGTCATGAAAATCAGTAAAAGACTGAAGAACTATTTCAGAACGAAGAGACATGAGTACTAAGTGTAACATATAATTCTCAAGATTAGATACTATTAATGTATCAGTATCAGTTTCCTGAGTTGATGGCTGTACTGCAGAGGACTGTCCTTGTTTGCAGAAAACACACCCTAAATGGTGTTGGGGACACAGTGTTGGAAATAGTTCAGGAAAAAAGTTCCTTGTACTATACTTGCATTTTGTTTGCAAGCTAAAAACTGTTTCCAAAAAATTAAAAAATTTAAAACTTGGGAGGAAAACGCAAGAGGGTTTATTCATAAACTAGATTTAGAGTTTCTCACATTCCAAATTCTAGTTAACTATTGGAAGGTAACACCAATTTATAGGTACAGAAGTTTCATTTTATACTTCCAAGATTTAAAACAAGATAGTTCTCCGCCAAAAACTGCAAACTGGACTTTGCCAATATAGGCATTTATGTGGGACCACACAAGACTTCAGTCATAATTCTCTTAATTTGGTAACATTAAACCTACTCTGTGCTATATTTACTTACACACATGTACAGAACACTGGGTGCTATATTTTAAATTCACTGAGGGTACAAATGCATCCTGTTCACTTCATTTAAAATATCTGCTGAAGGGCTTCCCTGGTGGCGCAGTAGTTGAGAGTCCACCTGCCAATGCAGGGGACGCAGGTTTGTGCTCCGGTCCAGGAAGATCCCACATGCCGCGAAGCGGCTGGGCCCGTGGGCCATGGCCGCTGAGCCTGTGTGTCCAGAGCCTGTGCTCCACAACGGGAGAGGCCACAACAGTGAGAGGCCCGCATACCA